ATCAACTTCGTACAGCTTGGTTGAAGAGTTTTTCCATGTATCTTGCCATATTGAATTAATCTTTTCTTTAAAGAATACTTTCAGGTCGGTGTGAAAACATTTCGTATTTTCTTCTGCATTTGGGTTAGTAGGTGCATTTTTTGCTATTTTATCTACAACCTCGTTTCCTTCGATTCCAGTATGTGACGGTACCCATATAAAATTAACTTTATTGTTCATATTTTCCGCATGTTTTAGTTCCTTTTTAATGAGAAGGAGTAGTGGATGGTTACAGTAAAGTTGGTTTAATGCCATTATTGAGCTAAGAGAATCTGTAATAATGATATTTCTTTTTTTATTTTCGTTAACTATCAGAACTAGTGCTTTTAGTATCGCATACAGTTCAGCTGAGAACGTTGTTGTATATGAAGGTAATTTGTAAGCTTCTGTATACTCTGAAGAGTAGATTGCTGCCCCAGTTTCGTCTTCGTTTTTGGAGGCGTCGGTGTAAACTTTGAAACAGCTACCATATTTGCTTAATATTTTTAGAAATTCTTGATTAATTTGACTTGCTGGCGTTTCTGATTTGTTTAGGCGCAATAAGCTGGTGTCAGTAGAGGGAAGTTGAATTGTCCAAGGAGGAGGGTTTGAATTGAGGAGATATCGTAGGTGTCTGGAAAATGGATACCCATTGTTAACAAGTAGGTATGTAGACGGAAATAGAAAGGGTGATCAGTTCGATTTGAAGTTTGGAAACAACTTTTGAAGCGGTCAGCGAATACGTTGTGTATAACAGGATTATCTTGATTAGACGATACTGCCGCGGCATAAAAAAGACTTAGATATTGTCTTCTGAATGCGAGTGGAATCTCTCCAGTTTCCCAGTATACAGTTTGTACTGGACTTGTGTAGTGTGCTCCTAAGGAAATTCGGAGGCCTGTATTTTGAATAACGTCTATTGTTTTTAAGTACGTTTTTTTGGAGGAGTTATAAACAATTGAGCCGTAGTCCAGTTTGGAGCGTACTAGAGCCTTGTAGATATGTAGTAATGTAGAAGAGTCGGCGCCCCATTTTTTGTTTGCGAGTGATCGTAACAAATTTATTCCAGGCTGACATGTCTTTTTTAAATATTCTAGATGTTTCTTCCAAGTTAGTTTTTGGTCAAAGATCATACCAAGAAATCTAACTTCGTCTACATATTTAAGCTGTTCTCCATTTAAATATAAGTTCTTAGGTTGTATTTGGTGACTTTTCGTAAAACATACTGCTTTGGTTTTGAGGGTATTGAACTGAAGACCACTTGTGAATGACCATTCTTCAATATGATTTATGGCTTTTTGGACATGGTTATGGATGGTTGTTCGGTTCTTTCCTCTACAAAGTATAACTAAATCATCTGCATATAGCCTAGTTTTTACTGGATGTTTAATTTTTGCGGTAATAGAGTTCATAGCTATAAGAAACAGAGTAGTGCTAAGGTCCGAGCCCTGTGGTATACCATTTTCTTGATTTTTTGTTGAGGAATATACTCCGTCTATTCTGACCTGAAATTGTCTATTTGTTAATAAGTTTGATATGTATTTGAGTATATTACCTCTAATTTTCCATTTGCTAAGCGTTTTTAAAATTGAATATTTCCATACTGAATCGTAGGCTTTACTAATGTCGAAAAATATTCCAATACAGTGTTGTTTGATTGCGAAAGCCTCGTATTTCCGATTCTACATCAATAAGGTTGTCTACAGTAGAACGACGCTTTCGGAAGCCACTTTGTTCTGGTATAATTAGTTTCTTTGATTCCAGATACCATATAAGTCTGTTATTTATTATTTTCTCTAGCATTTTGCACATACTACAAGTAAGAGATGTTGGCCTATATGTTTCGGGATCTGATTTTGATTTACTCTGTTTAGGAATAGGAATTATTATTCAATTTCTCCAGGATTCTGGAAATACATTTTTCGAGAAAATGAGGTTGAACATGCTGAGTAAGTATTCTTTAGATGGGTAGGTGAGGTTTTTTTAGAAAAATAGTGGGTATATTATCTGGCCCAGGGCACGAGTTATTACAGTTTTTCATTACCGTTTCTAATTCATCCATCGATATTGGAAAGTTTATTTCGCTGTTATTTTGATCCTCATAGTCTATGGTAGATATTTCTTCATTTATTTTGTTCTGTAAGAAATTTGGTGAATAGTATGCATCGCTTGAGTTTTTTTCATAACCTAATGCCAGTATATTTGATATTTCCTTTTGAGATTTATATATATAATATATATATCATATACATTATTGCTCTAACAGATTTATCGACTTTTTTGTACCAGATATTCTTTTTACTTTTTTCCAAACAGTTGTCATTGGAGTACAACTGTCAATTGTTGAAACTTATGCTATCCAAGATTCGCGCTTTGCTTTTTTGATAGTATATCTGGCTATACCTCGTAGTCGTTTGAATTCTAAAGAGTTTTGTTCATTTTTCTGTCGTTTGAATTTATTAAACGCTTTTTTGGATTGTTGAATTGCTTGTTTGCATTCTTGGTTCCACCAAGGAACTGGATGGAATTTACTGGCGAAGTTAATTTTTCCTATATTTTTATCTGCTGAATCTATTATCAGTTTTGTAATAAAATCTACTTCTTCATTCACATTACTGTTTTGGTTTATGGCATGCAAGTTGTGTTGGATGTGGTTTTGAAATTTCTTCCAGTCAGCATTTTTCAAGTTCCAGTTTACTTCAGGTATAGCTGTAGATGATTCTTCGTTATGGATTATAATAGGGTAGTGATCATTATCGTATGGCTCCAGTAATACATCCCATGAAAGCGTATGAGTTATTCATGGTTCGCATACAGACAAGTCGATAGCAGAACCTTTACCTGATCTTATGTCGAAACGGGTGTCTTGTCCGTCATTAAGTAGATTTAGGTTAAATTTTTCCAGAAGGGATTCTATTTTTCTACCGAAACTCGTTAATTTTTTTGAACCCCATAAAGGGTTATGTGCGTTGAAGTCTCCAATAATTAGTCGTGGAATAGGTATTTGATCTAAGAGGTCCAATATTTCGTTATGGTTCAGTTCTTGATTGGGGGGAATGTATATGTTGCATACAGAAAAGGTAGTTACGTCTTTGATTCTGACTGCAATTGCCTCGAGGTTTGTTTTTAATGGTATTTCTATACTGTCAATGTCGTTCTTTATGTATATCGCTACTCCTCCGCTGGCTATTTTACATAGAATATACGTATATATATAATTACATATTAGCATTTACATAGAATAGTTATAACACCTATTGTAAGCATCTCATTGATGTTCACATCAAAGAGATGTTGACATTGTTTGTTTCACGTTTAGACTTTATTATTGGATTTCCGGAATAATAAAAGTCGTTTGGGCCCTTGTTGCCCCTTTACGTGACAAAATTCTTTCGACGCAATAATTTTAAAAATAATAACGAATATTTTGAATAGCCCATGACTATGTTGAAGGAAACAGACTTCTAATCAAATTCAGTGATGCATAAAATTCAGTAAATTTTTTATATCAACTTATGTTAAAAGAATTGGCGTCTCGGGCTTGTTTTAACCACCTTGCTCGTATAAGTGTAAGAAATACCTGAGAGAAGAAAATACTAAAACCACCTTGCAACAGACTGTCAAAGTTGCTCCCAGGATAGATACAGCCTCTAACACACGACACAATAACATTTTTTAAAACTTTTTGAAAACTTCAATATCATCAGTATTTTGACTAATATGCTATTGAATAAAACTTTTAATATAATAAAGGGCAAATTAGAGAGGTATGATACATTGACAAAAATAATCCAACTGAAGGTATCAGCTATCATAAAGCTACTTTGCGCAGATAATATTTATTTTTACCTTAGATTAAAGATGATAGAGGATATGCAATCAAAGATTTCATAAGAGGAAATCACATTAAGAGATATTAAAATTACAGTTCAAACCACAACGTAACATCAAAAAAGAAATTATCAAATCATTATATGATATAGTTCTTCTTCTTCTCGTGTCACTCCTAGCGGAGATTGGAAATCATCATGGCCACTGCGACTTTGTTAGCAGCGCGCCTAAAAAGTTCAATCGAACTACACCCGAACCATTCACGTAGATTACGAAACCACGATATTTTTCTTCTTCCCACACTTCTTTTGCCCTTAATTTTGCCCTGCATGATGTTTCTTAAAAGTTCGTACTTTTCACCTCTCACAATGTGCCCCAAGTATTCCATCTTTCTAGTTTTTATCTCATTTAGAATTTCGCATCTTTTGTCTAAAGTTTGGAGTACTTGCGTGTTAATGACGCAGTCGATCCATGATATTCTGAGAATGCGCCTATAGCACCACATCTCGAAAGATTCGATGTTTTTTATGGTGAACTGTTTTAGTGTCCAAGCCTCAACTCCATATAACAGGGTAGAAAAGACATAACACCGCAGCATACGTATTCGTAACTTTATCTTGATAGTGGTGAAGTCCAAAACACCTGCTCTAATAAAAAAGTGTTTCAGGAAGAAAAAAACCCACTAACTAAGGTTTTTGACAAAAAACGATTACCCGTTATCATTTATAAACAAGGATAAAGAAAGATAACAAAATTCGACAACAATCCAGAGACACTCAAAAGGATCTTTAAGCAGTTTAAGCCAAAGGGATGAAATACACAGAAAAGAAATTGATAACGAGAAATAAAAAATAATAAAGATAAAAATAGACACCAACACAACAACAAATCTGACACCCTAGGGGGTACGAGAAGTTACAAGAAGAAGGGAAGACTATTTTAGGATAAATGGACGGTTACCAGCGTAATGAAAAAGTCAATAAAAATTAGACAAACGTGGCACAGGATAGATGGAAGTGTAAACATGGGATGAAACGTTTGTTTAACAGCGGACGTTTAAGGCTGGATAACAAGTGGGTAAAGTTCTTATACAAAAAATAAAGTAAACATACACATACCAATAAACACAAATAATTTATTTTTCGTTTTACCTGTTTTGTCGCCGCTTTCTGATGGTAAAGCTTGTAGAATTGGAAAAACTGTCCAATGTTGCTGTAGACAAACCTAAAAATATAATATTTTTAAGTATTCTAGATAAAATGCAACACACAACACAACGAGGAGTCTGCCAAGGTTGCGTACTATCCTCATTATTGTTTAATAATATATTCACGATACATTTTAGATAAGGATTTACAAGGTACATATAACGGTTTACAGACAACATTATTACTGACAACCTGGAAACTTTTTGACAACTGCAACAAGTCAGGTAATATTTTAGCAGTGGCGCACCTAGAATATTCCTGGTGGGGGTTTGGTCAAGCAACGAATTTATTTTAGGCTACCTTCATTTTGAGTTTTTAAAATTTGGGTTTTAGTTTTTAGCTTAGTTTTAGTAGTTTTTTAAAATGCAAACGATAATTATTTAAAAAAAAACAAGAAAGGGTGTGTTATGTCACAGGCGAACCGTTTTATAAGTATGTGCTTTTTAAGTCCACGAGCATCTGCAAGAAATGAAAGAATTTACTCCAGTCCAGTTGCACCCATTGAGTGTAGGGAAATGTTTAAAACCAGATAAAATAAAAAGCGTGTTAACTTTGTTAACGAAACTTTATGGGGTGAATTGGGTGGCTGATGAACGTCTTCATTTCTTCACAAAAGCTTTTAACTACTTAAAAAACACTAACCAGTCGGAAAATCATCCTAAGGGTACGGAAGATCATCAGTTATTTAAAACTTTTTTATTTCTAATATGTAGTTAAAAGTATCAAACATTTTTATTTATTGTTAAAATTTAACAAAGATATGGGAATTATAAATTGCTATAAAGTTATTTGTTTTCTGTATCTGTTGAATCACAATAATAACATCCATTTTCAACATACTGGAGGATAGTTTAAAGTGTACACAGGTACTTCATGCGACTTTGCTTAGCCTCGTTTCACTTCCGTTCTGTCGGTTTTTCGCGTCCGAGTCAAAGGGCCCGAAGTACGAATATAAAGTGTCACACTACATTAGTCGACTTCACGACACTCCAGCAAGCTACAAGTACTCAGACTAACAGAGTACATAGCAGCTGGATCTAACGACAAACAGTACACAGGAGCTGCATTCCTGGATGTAAGTAAAGTATTCGACAGAGTCTGGCATAAGGGACTATTATACAAAATGAGAGATTACGAGTACAGCGAAGCAATGACAAGGCTGATCTCTTCTTACTTGAGGAACCGCAGTTTCAGAGTCCGGATAGGACAAGTCCTGTCCGAACTCGGGAACCCGGAAGCTGGAGTACCACAGGTAGCGGTACTGTCACCTCTGCTGTACACGATATACACAGCAGACATACATAGAACACCAGGTACATTATTAAGTCTCTATGCTGAGGACACAGCGATAGCGGCCAAACACAGAAATGTAGATATAGCAGTCACCAATCTACAGACAGCGTTAGACGACATTGAAGAATGGAGTCTAAAGTGGAAAATTAAAATTAATTCAGATAAAACACAAGCTGTACTTTTTCAAAAGAGGCGAGAACGACCGGAAGAACAGGTAACTGTGCAAGACAATCCCATTGAGTGGAAAAGCGAAGCAAAATACCTCGGGGTAATAATGGACAAAGGACTAACCTTCAATAAACACGTAGAAGCTACAGTACAAAAAGCTAACATGGCAAGGGCCGCAATAAGAGGCCTAGCAGGAAGGAAAAGTAAACTTCGTATAAAAACCAAAATACGGCTAATAAACAGTATAGTCCTTCCTATACTGACATACGCATCACTTGCGTGGGGACACATATGCAACACAACGAAAAAGAAAATACAGGCACAACACAACAAAAGCCTTAGAGAAGCGGTAAACGTACCAAGATACGTAGCTGAATAATTCCTTTTCAGAGATTTACAACAAATCAGAGTGACTGACACAATGAAAGAAAAAGCTAGGATAAAATTCGCAGAACTAGAGAACCACCCAGTCACATCCTACGAGGGATAATGAGGTATGACGCTTTCCACAGATGGAAGCACAAAAGACCGAAACAACAAATAGTAGACTAAAATAAGACCAGAGAGAGAAATAAAAAACCCCCCAAGATGGACAGAATTCTACAAAAAGCCCAGAGTGAGAAAAAACTCCAAAATTATACCACACACACAAGGAAGATAGTTCGTAGCTCAAATCACCCAGAATGTCGCAAATCGCCTCATACACAGTGGGCCCAGCTGCTCATACAAGGATACAGTCTGTATTGTGGTATTGTATAATATTTTATATATTTTCTTTATTATAATATAGACTATATACTAATTATGATTCTTCTGTTCACAGGTCACCTACCAAAAAAACTACAAAAACCACAAAAAACGGCTTCGGCCACCAAAAAATCAAAAAAATACTAACAAAAACCGGCTTCGGCCACCAAAAAAAAATAACAAAACCCCAAAACCCCAAGGCCCTACCCCCTTGAGCAACAAGTCGACGAACTGAGCCGGGACTCAGAGCGGAGACTTGAGGCCCAAGTAAGCAATTTTAGTTCGCGGATAAGCTACATTAAGATAAACAGGAATAAAGCGGAGATGCGCTGTCCTAAGTTTTTGCATACGGTTAGGAAACCATGTTGGGTTCTATTACCCAGGACCCCCACATGAAGAGGACTTGGCTGATTGTTGTGCCTCTATAGCGAATCAGATTGCTATAGGGGGAAAGGGATGGTCTAGAGCATTGGAGCACGGTGGGGTGATTCCTGTTTTCAACTCGAGTTAAAACACCTTGCTCCAATGAATTGTTACACCCGATCGTACTACCTGGGTGAACGTTTTTCATAGGCTGGGTTCAATCAAATTGCTTGCTTGCTTCAACTTCACGAGTATGTAGAGAGTCACCACGCCTCGATTGAGTTCACTTCGACACTTCGTCCGAAGAACTTCAATCGAGAGTGTAGACGGCACTTAAGGTATTCTTGTTGATACACTGAAGGAATTATCTTTTTTGAACATAATACGGTTAAATATTTTTTTTTTGCAATACTTTGCAATGCAAGACGGACAGTCTTGAAGTATACATTTTTTACCATGTTGGAAGACTTACGCCTGTCTTGCTTTATACGTACTGTTCTAGGAGTTTTAGTTTTGTTACAGTTATTGTATAAAAAAATTTGGGGGTTCTTTTTTCTTTATAATACAAAACCTTCGTGCACTGCGAATTTAACAGGCTTCGATTATACTTTCTTCCTACACTAATTTCCAATTTTGTAAATCTTTGTATAAGTGATCACTTCGTATGGCCTTGGATTTGTTCTATTGTTTAATTTCTAAGTTTAATTCTATAACGGAATGCACAGATTTTAGATTTTTTGACCAAATAATGTAGCATTGATAACATTTGACGATTTTATATTGTTCAGGGAAATCGTCACAGAAGAACGATATTATCTTCATTTCAGGACTTCCCTAAATCTTTTAGATAATTATATACATTGGAGCATATTTTATTCGCTTCCCTGTTGCCATCAGATTCGCCCCATGAACAACAGAATTCATTACATTTCCCACTTTTATTATAATAAAGTTATACATTGCATATTTTCTTGGATAATACAGAAGTATATTGTGATCATGAGAGGTATTTAAACTTTTTGAAGATAAAAAAATACTAAAAAGTTTAAATTTATTTCAGTTCTTATTTGATGTGCTTTGAACATAGAAGTTAAAAATAAAATTAAAAAAAGTTATAGCATATTATTATATACGCGCAAGGAGGCGAATGTAAACAATTCAAATTGTTGAAGCATGAACGATGCCGCCAAAAAGCTGTTATTCGCGTCATACAGACTCAACTGTTAAAAGGTTGTATTGCACTTACAACCTTCTTCTTGTCGTAATGTACCATGGGGCTTTACATTAAATTAAAAGGTTAAATCAATAATTATTGCAGCCGTATTTTGTTTATAATATTTTTTCAGTTAAAAGAAAAATTAAAAATAATTGAACTTTGATGGTACACAAGGCAAATATCGAACACAGTATTTAATCAAATCTTGCCCAAGTACTTTCGATCACAAGATCATCTTCAGGGGCATTTCGTCAGTTGTGGCCTATCCAGCAGTAACAGAATGTCATAAATGTAAATTAGGACATAACAAATACACTAAATAAAGACAAACAAACACTTTAAAATTTAAAAATTGGAGAAGCTACATTTTATATAGAAGCCAGAGACAGAATGGCTCCCAGCCTGGTATATAATAGCAGTATATAATATAGCAAGACAAGATTAATATTTAGTATTTTTGGATTTCAGGTTATTATCTCTAATATCATTTGTTTCCTGTCATTTGTTACTTCAAAATCTCAACTATCGTTGAGTTGGCGCCCTTCTTTTTCTCTTAAATTTATTTCCAGTGACCTTCTTTAGTTGTATCACATTTGATATTACCAGGTCTCATTTCGTTTCTTGTCTTATTAGCTCAGTATCCTTGCTATCTGTTTATATCTTTAAAGCCACAATCCAGTGCATTGAAGCTAGCCCGAACACTACTTCTCTTCTAGTTCTTCTGGAATTTGGAAGTTCTACACTTCCTAAAATCCAATACTCCCGAAGTATTGAGGTTTCAATTGGCTGGAAATATTGAGGTTTCAGGATGGGAGCCATTCTGTCTCCGGCTTCTATATAAAATGTAGCTTCTCCAATTTTTAAATTTTAAAGTGTTTGTTTGTCTTTGTTTAGTGTATTTGTTATGTCCCAATTTACATTTATGACATTCTGTTACTGCTGGATAGGCCACAACTGACGAAATGCCCCTGAAGATGATCTTGTGATCGAAAGTACTTGGGCAAGATTTGATTAAATACTGTGTTCGATATTTGCCTTGTGTACCATCAAAGTTCATTTATTCGAACATTCAACCGTACATTGATTTAAAAATAATTGATATTTGAAACCGTCTTAGACGAATTAAGCCGCTTGACTAAAAAGAAAAATTATGTAAATTCTAAACTATTCGAGATACTATCGAACAATTTTTAAAAAGTTAGGTCAAGTTGTCTATATAACATAATCTC